CAAAGCAACTGAACAGCATTCAGAGGTTGTCCCTACCTATTCTGTCTGGGCCATACAAAGTGTTCCTGCCTGTTCTGTCACGCCTACAGAGGTTGTTGCCGCCAGTTGGGTCATGGCCATAGAGAATGTTCCTGTCTTGTCAAGCCCTCAAATGTTGTTCCTACCCGTCATGTCTAGGCCATACAAAGTGTTCCTGCCTGTCCTGTCACGCCTACAGAGGTCGTTCCTGCCAGTTGGGTCATGGCCATAGATGGTGTTCCTACCTGTCAAATTATGGCCATATAAAATGTTCGTGCCTGTCCTGTTATGTCCTCTGAGGCCATCCTTGCCAGTTGGGTCATGGCTATGGAGATGTGTTCCTGTCTTGTCAAGTTATACTCACTGAGATCATACCAGACAAGCTCTCGGCTGTTTCTGATGAGTCCCTCGGAGGATGCTCCTACTAGTTGTTCCACCTGAAGAGGCTGTCCTGTTAGTTTTGTCCCGTCCTTGATCCTGTCTTGCTAAGCCCACAGAGGTTGTTCCTGCTAGTCAAGTTACACTCACTGAGATCATACCAGATCATCTATCTGCTGCTTTGACGAGTTCCTCAGAGGCTGTTCCTGCTAGTGAGGTTACGCCCACTGAGATCATACCAGACTGGCTATCTGCTGCTTTGACGAGTTCCTCAGAGGATGATCCTGCTAGTGAGGTTACGTCCACTGAGATCATACCAGACTGGCTATCTGCTGTTTCTGATGAGTCCCTCAGAGTATGTTCCTGCTAGTCATGTTTCACCTGTGGAGGCTGTCCCCGAGTATACTGCTCTCCCTGTCATGACCTCTGAAGATGCTCCTGTACAGTCTGCTCCAGCCCAGTTCTAACTGCTTATGACTGACTTCAAGCCCCCCCACACCCCCTCCCCTCCCACTGCTGCCTGCACTTTCAATCTGGCAACTATGATCAGTTTGGTGGAATTGGACACCAGGAGGCGTCCGTTGGGAGGGGGGTAGTGTCAGGGTTTTGCCCTGACACTCTGGTTGTCTTGTGTTTTTGTTTCTTGTGTCTGTCTTGTCAGCACATGGCCTAGTTTGTTTTTCTCAGCCATCTTCCCGAGCAGCTTTACATGCATTATCTGTCAGGGTTTTGCCCTGACACTCTGGTTGTCTTGTGTTTTTGTTTCTTGTGTCTGTCTTGTCAGCACATGGCCTAGTTTGTTTTTCTCAGCCATCTGCTGCTTTAGCTCCTCCTCCTGGTTTCCTCATTACCACGTTCCTGTCCACTGGTTCCCTTGCCTGGTGTCTGGGGTGCTTCAGAGTTTATGGTCAACAAGTATCTGAGCTCAGCTCTCTGGTGCCTTGCTCTGGTCTCTCCCGGCCTGGTCTTGCCGCCTCTGCTATAGTATTCTGCCAGTTGATGTCTGAGGCTGTTCCAGTGGCCTTCCCTAGCTATCGGTTTATTGTGTTCCTGTTGTGGTATCACCTGTGCACCTCACAACCCTTTTGTATTGATCTGTTTTGTCAATAAACCCTTGTTACACTCACTGCAATTGGGTCCTCCTTCCAGATCCCTGACACATTCAGCTCTCTATCCTTCTCTACCTCTTCATCCTCCTCTCTCTCTTTGTGCTGTCAATCATAACAACCAAACAGAGAATTTATTATCTAATAAGAAATACAGATTTTTCAGTGAGGTGATGACTTCGATAAAGCAACATTAAGTAACATCATTTAAGTCCCTCACCTGAAGCTGGCTGTCTTGATTTAAAGAAATATCTTATATCCATCTTTGGAAAAACTGACATTTCCAATTAGTAAGGGTTTGTTCCAATTTTTCAATTTATTGTCCATAAATGTTTAAAAAGAGCTAACATCAGATAATGTTACATGCAATGTATGTTAAAAAAAAGTCTTTCTCTTTATTTATTTCTTCCCTTTCTAGCTTGCACTTATTTGAACAATTATTGAAACTTGGTATTACAAGCACTTCCTGTGTCTGTTTGCAAAATGACTAAATGTAAATGACTAAATGTCAGCTAATGTTCTTTGACAGTGTTCACACACCATAAGCAGGACTCTACATTCAGTTTTACTTGTGGTCAATTGTGCCAACATTTCCACTGGCCCAGCCAAAAAAACCCGCTAGATGTCATTTCAGTCAGCAGCCGAGGGTCTTTCATGCTATCCCCTGGCCATCAGCCAGCCCTGAGAGAACTAGGTACAGGTACACAATACACGATGCAACGAGTAACCTGTCTGTCAACACCGGACGTGACAGAGTTACAAGACGCCACAAAATCAATCAAAAATCACAGCCAATTAGAACAACGTGTGGGCGGAGTATCAAGCGCACTGAACTTGCAACGAAAGAACATAATCTAATTAATGTATATTAAACAATTTAAGCATTGTTAAAAATATACTGAGTAACTAATGCAATCTTTGTCATGGAATACACTTAATTGTTGACACTGAGTTCACAGTTTTACTATCCATCTTTTCTTTAACCATTTTTCAATATTTGAGGTAAATCCTAAATTAACCAAACCATTTAAGATAAGTTACCTTTTGTTGCGTCTGTAGTTAATCACAGAATTTAGTGCTGATAACAATAACAATGTAAAAATGCTTGAGATGAATGAGATGAGACGAGTGATGTGCTGTGATTGACAGGAGGCGCGGCTGAGTGATTGACAGGAGGCGTGGCTGAGTGATTGACAGGAGGCGTGGCTGAGTGATTGGCTGAGTGATTGACAGGAGGCGTGGCTGTGGAGGTTTGCGGGGGGGGACTTG